GTTTTGAAAAAACAATATGATTTCACCAGTGTGTACTTTATCTGTAAGATTTTAGTATTGGATATTTACATGGCACAGAAGAAAAATTTTAAGTGCACATAACTGATGCATGTAAACCAACAAACACTAAGCTGGTGCCCCAGTATGTATTGATCCCACTTTTATGAATCTTACCACACTAGGATTGGGTGACTCACTGACCTGGAAGCACTGACTCTCCTGGGGCTGGCTAATTCCCAGAGAAAATAAACTATGTGTCTGGGAGTTTGCCTTTGATATGCAAAAAAACCAAGCCAGAACCCACACTCCTAAGGACCTCCTCTAGCAGCTTCTGGGAGAATATTCCAGTGCTCTGATCAAACCAGGGCAGATACTGGGCAACCAGAGACAACTCCATATCCCAGAGTTCAAAGAGACTGACTCAAACTAGCCAGTCCTGAACTGTTACCCCACTTAGCCGTTCCTTTTCACAAAATTCACAGCAAAAGTTTTGCACGGGATTTCCCCCTCTGCCACCTAACTAACCTGAGTGGCTTTGCGTTGCAAGGAGTGGTGTGTGCCCTCTTGGGAACTGTGCAGAATAAACTGTTCTTTTTAATTTATCAATCATTTACATAACTATAGAATTTGGGGAGCACAACGTCACACTTTTATATGAGCACATACTTCACATACCCTCCTGTCCTCTTACCTTCTCTACCTGCTCTTTCCATACCCATTTCTTTTGGAACCAGTATATTTTTCACGAAGTTATTGTTGATGTATTTGCTAATTTATTTTCTCTGGTTACTTATAATGCAAATGAGTGAAACCATGCAGTAACTGTCTTTCACTTCCTGACTTATTTCATTCAGTATAATCACCTATGTCTTTTGTCCCCAAAGACACTAATTCATCATTTTTAATGGCTGAGTTTTATTCCATTGAGTATAGAGTCCACAATTATGACTCCGCAGTTTTGTCATCCAGTTGTCATTAGGTACTTAGGTTGATTCCATGTCTTAACTACTATGAATAATGCTGATATGAACTCTTTGAATATTAAATACCTAGCAGTGGTATTACTGGATCATATGGCATCTCCATTTTACTTTTTAAGGAATCTTCATAGCATTTGCCATAGAGGCTGCACTCAATTGCCTTCCTACCAATAGCGGTTGAGAGGTCCCATTCACCATGGCCATGGCCCCCAATCTGTTGGCCTCACCATAACTGAATAAAAACAACACCCCAGGTACATTTTAAAGCAAAGTCACAGATCTCAGAAGTGGTCTCAGGAGGAAGTCAGAAGCTAGAGTGAGTTAGAAACAACTTTGGTGAAGCTGAGGGGCTGATTAATTTGACAGGGACTGACTGATAACAGAATGGAGGTGACAGAGAGGAAAGGTAGACATAGACACAGAAAACCATCAAAATAAAAACCAAGCCTATTTGGCCCATATCTGATACTGCAAAAATCTTCAACCTTCATATCACTCTGTCAAATCCTAAGGCAAAGACGCTTTTTCGATCAGCCCTTCTTAATCCTGAGTGAATTAACTGATAATACAAATCCATCTATGCAGAACACACAGCAGAGCCTCTGGGGTTGTAGCTGTTAGGAAGTTACCCAGGCCCTGTGTTCACATGTACCTGCCACAGATGGGCCTAGTGTTGTTCCACAGCACCCCAGTGAAAACTGTTTTATATGCATAACTATGTTCTGATGTAGGTACAGTAATTTTATTTAAGTAAGATCTCATATGAAGCTTAAGTATTTAAAAGAAATCAGCATTATATTAATACAAATGTGTCATATATGTTGAACTTCAGGACATCTATTTATTCAAGTAAAAAAATTAACTTCTATACCTTTGTTAGGAAAAGCGATTATGTTCTTGTATCAGCCTTAGCCTCCCAAATATTTCAAGGTTTTTGTTTTGGTTGAGTGATATATAGACACATCTGATTTCTTTTAAGTTAACAGCTACAAATAGATTTTTTTTTCTCTCAGAATGCTTTACAATATTTTCTTTTAAAAGTTGTGCTTTATACACCTTGGAGAAATCTTTTATCCTAAGGTCCTATGGGCATAAAGTTATTCTCTTTAACTTTCTTCTAAAAGTCCAAACAATTTTGCTTTCTAAGTTTGTCTTTAATTTCCTTTACTTGTGTTATCTTTGGAACAAAATTTTAATTTAATGTGTATACCATTTTCCTAGTATCATTTTAGAGTAGTCTTTTCTTTCCTACTATCTGCAATTCACCACCTTTCTGTATCAAGCATATATATAGGTCTGTGTATTTCAGAACTTTCTTAGTTCGCTAGTCTCTTCCTCTCTCTCTCTCTCTCTCTCTCTCTCTCTCTTTTTCTCTCCCTCCTCCCTGCTCTCTGCCCCCAACCCCCCACCCCAACTTGTTCTTCCCTGTCTTCATTGCTATAGACTTGTAATTTGTCTTGTTGTTTATTGGGCCCAGTAATTGTCAAATTTGAGTAGGTATCAAAATCACCTGGGAATTTTAGTGAAAATCCAGAGTCTAGCTCTCCCTAAGTTACACTCTACACATAGGTTCAGGTGTTCTTTAGCAGTTCTTTAGGAGACTGAATACACACCAGTGTTCAAGAATCACAGGGAAATTTCTTCTTCTTCTTTTATTTCCCCGGGGTTCTCAAGGAGTTATTTAATAGAGGTTCTCTGGTGTATAGTAGTGAATATTGCCTTCAACATTTTTATAATAAACCCACAAAGTACATCATGTACTTTTTATTTTTTCACTTGTAAGGGATTATTTATTATTTTTCCCATTTTTTTATTTTATATATTTTTCACATCATTTTTCATTTTTGCACAATGTATGATTTTCATCTTGGTTATAGTCCCTGTACTTACAAATTATTTGACTATTTTGCCCTCTATAATTTATTAAAAAAAACCCCAAAACCTAGTTTTATCTAATTTCTTTAGGGGATTAGATGGAGATATTATTAAATCTATGATTATTTTATGAAAATCTTTTCTAAAATTGTTCCTTTTTCTTCCTTATAAGATCTCATATGAAGAGATCTCATATGAATAATTTTCTAAAATTGTTCCTTTTTCTTCTATATAAATAGATTTATGTTCTATCACTTCACTGGAAAAGACATAAATTTATGGCATTTGTTAATCACAGTGGTATTCTTTTGCATTGAGGAGTATATATTTGGTCAATAGTACAAAACAAACAAACAAAAGGAATAGAGAGGAAGTTGCTTGGTGCACTGGTTAAGAGAACTGTGTTGCTAAAGAAGTTGAGAATTGACAAAGGGAATTTCATCCTTCAATTTTCCTTTCTCACAAATGCTAACAACATGAAAACTTGCATGGGTTGAGAGGATATATCGCAGTTCACTTGAATTTATCATATTATTCCAGAGTGAATAAAGTGCTTAAGTTCCATCAGGGGGAGTGTTCTCACTTTATCGATTTCCAGAAAAGAGTCAATAGGAGTATTGATTGACTTGACAGTTCTTTCTTACTCCTCAAGAAGCAAAAGAAATGGTGCTTAAAACTAGAATGATGAGAAACAGCACCGTTCTTACCCCTCTATCTTGCTGCAAAGAGATTAGAAGACACATTTACCAGCTAGAAAGTTTTCTTGAGTTGTGTACTTAATTCCGCAATTCTCAGGAGGAATGACAAAGTGGTTGCCATTTGCCATAGATTGATGGCATTTCTATTAAGTTTGGGGCAATTTTCTCATTCTGACCCCTTTTATAGGACTGATAGTGAAGCTGACATAAGAGACAAAAGAAAATGAATGATGAGAATACCTTCATCTTTTTTCATATAGCCTTCTGTTCTCTTCTTTTTAATCATTTTGTAAGATGAGATAGAAACAGATATAAAATAACTTAGCAGCTAAATCCATATAAATTCAAGTTCTATCATTTATGAGTTGTAGGATCTTAGGGTAGTTGGTAAAGTGTGTAGCTCATTAGAAAAAGATGGGATGGTGATTCTTTGGGCAATTGTTGTAAAAGTGCTAAACTAGTAAAAATGTGAAGAGTCACATTCAGCAGTGTTCTTCAAACTGTTCTTCATTATCATTTATCATGAAATCAACATAGTGAGTAGCAGTCAATTTAAAAACATACAAACCAAATAGAAACTCTCAGTGTGCATCACAGGATTTAAAATGAAACCTCAGGATTTAAAATGTATCCTATATCACAGATAATCCCATACGCTTGCAGATAATGAAAATCTTGGTGAAGAACCAAATATCTATGAGATAAACTTGAAGACTATATTGATCCCAAATGAGGCTATATATTAGATATTGAGATTTTTTGCTTCAGTTTCTCATATTCACACATGGGCTTGTGCACGTGTGTGTGCACACGTACACACCCACACATACTGGGTTACTATGAAAAATGTACTACTCACTATGAGTTGAGGCAAAAAGGTTTTGTAAAACACTCTAAGTCAATAAATATTCACTTCTATTTTTCCTTTTAAATTTTACCTTTTACTTAGCTTTTTACACGAGAATGTCACAGTGAATACAGTCGACCCTTGGAATATATGAGGGTGCAATAAAGCCCAATGGAAATGTGGCCACAGGAGAGTCTCCCAGGCATTGTCACTAGTAATCTTATAACATGATATAAATGGAACCTTGAGATTTAAAATGTATCATATGTCACGGATAATCACATATACTTCCAGATAATGAAAATCTTGGTGGAGATCCAAATTTCTATGAGATAAACTTGAAGACTGTATTGGTTCCAAATATAATTTTCAAATCATCCTATTAGACTCAACATAAGTTACCTCTCCCTTCCTAATCCTAAAGGGTCTCATGTGTCCTACAGGAATGATGTTATTTTTCAGTGAGCACTGAATGAGGCGGGTACCTCTCCTGGCCCATGGCTGCTGATCTTTCCATTAACCAGGGCAAGGCAAGGTAGCCCTAAGAAACACTCTCATGACCACCTTGGTTCTAATTAATTCTTTCCTGTTTCTTTACAGGGTGACCTCTTCCTGGGATTTAAATCCCAACTCTATCAATAAACCCATGACTGCTTTTCTTGTCAGCTGGTCTCCTGGTTTGAAGCTGTTGGCAGAAGCTGTGCCTTCAAGTTTACTAGGGCCCATCCTTTGCCTTCTGGTGGAACATTCCCTTGAGGAAATCAGGACCTGTAGACCGCAGGACTTAAGGTGTGGAAATGAGAATCACAAATTCTCTCTGGGAAGCAGATCTCTTAGAGGCAGAGGCTACCATCATAGGACAGGAAGCAAAAATGCCTCCAATATGTCCTTGGGCGTGATGGTGAGGGAGGCCATTTCTGCTTCCACCCCGTGGTTTACAGATCCATGCATTCTAACAGCTGGGGACACAGCACAGCACCCAGCTAAGTATATATCAGGTGTCCTGGAGGGTGACCTCTCAGCCTTGCAGGTATCGTCCCGAGTCAGTGCCTTCAGATCAGATCAGCTGCTACTGGGTAGCATGGCATTTGTTCAGACCAGTGGATATTGTCCTGTTGCCACAGCGTTGCCTACTTTACTGTAAAGTGTGTTCTGTGATTTTGTGTGGGTTCTGCGCTAGCGGATTGCTCTATATTCTGGATAAGCCTTGGTGCCAGCACTCACTGGCCACCTCTATTGAGGGTATGCCTAAGAATGAAGCCAAAAGAGAGGAAAGCAAATGAGAGAAATGGAGAAACATTCAGATGACATTGCTTGAACACTTGGCTCCTTTAGTACCTAAAATAAAGGCTTGCCTGAATTTTCAACTAAATGAACTGATTTATTATTATTACTATTTAAGTATTATTATTATTTTTAAAGATTTATTTATTTATGCATTCAAGAATGGGGTACAGGCCAGAGGTGCAGGGGGTGAGAGGATTCCCTAGAGACAGAGTGGGGAACAGAACAGGCAGACTGAAATACACTGCTGAGGGGAGCAGCGGTGAGACAGGAGAGGGCTGCTGTGCTCTGTGGGTAAATCGCTGGTGGGCTGGGGATCCACCTGGTGTGGCAGAGGCTGTGGATAGCTTCACAGTGCTGTGCTTAACCCTTTAGGCCACCAGGGAGGCCCAAAATTACTATTATCATATTACTATTATTATTATTTGAGATGAGCTTCAGTCATTTACATTTGAAAGAACTTATAGGAAGCCACCAATGTTCCTGCCAGGGATCCTTACATATTCATTCTTTAACAAAGTTAATATCATATTTCAGGACTTATTCTGCCCTGAGAGTTATTTACTATCTTTAGGCTGAGTATGGATCTCTGATTTGATTCATGTTGTGATGATTTTATCATTGAAATCTCAGAAACAGGTATTTCCAAGTGCTTGAAAATCTTATAATACTTCCCAGCGTGACTATCAAGAACACGGTCTATGAGACACAAGGAGGCAGGGGTGTGGAGTGTGCAAGAACCTCTACCTTTACAGAGCATCTCTTGTGGCCGACGCAATGTTGTAAATACTTTCGTAATTAACAAAGTTCCTCCTCCCTACTGCCCAGTGAGACTGGTATTATTATTTCCCTCATCTTGACACTGAGGAAATAGGTTATGAGAAGCTGGGTAACTTCTGCTAGGTCACTCAGTTAATAAATAGAAGAAACACAGATTCTAAACAATTAGCACTGGCTGTATTGACAGCAGGACTCCAGAGATGTGCAAGATCAAAACAGGCATCAGGAATGAGAAAAGCCTCCTGCAGCCCCGTGAGTAAAACAGCTTCTCTCTTTTCACTCTTTCACAGCCTGCAGTGAAGCAGTGATCTGGTGGTGTCCTGAAGACACCCTCCAGATTACTTGAAGTATCATAGAATTGTGTGAAAATTTACTTTTGATCTGTTCTCAAACAAGTACAGGTATACGATTTTTATGTGAGAGGGATGATTTCAAACTTGCTTTTAAATATTTTCCTAACTTATGTTTCTGCAGATAATCGTTATGAGCCTAACAGCGCTCCTGCACTGATTCCCCAGCTTCACAACCTGGTCTCTATGCCTACCAGCTGATGGAGAAGGGTCTCTGCTCAGAGCCTCTGCCTTTGTGTGCACGTGGGCTCTGCAGTCCAAGTCACGTCAGTCTCCTTTGTGTGGGTTTTGAGAGTCTGAGATATTTTCTGCAAAGCATGTCCCTTCAAGTCGTCCCTGGTAATCATCGACAATTTCATCTCTTATATCTAATTCCCCACATACCAGCTTCTAATTGTATGTGCAAGGTTATTTTTAAAAATTTTTCTGAGCTCTTGATTGAAAGTATTTAAAGAACTTTCTAGGGACCTTGTAAGCTCAGGGCAAAATAAACCCATAGAGTCTTTTCATTCTAAGTTCTGCATTGATATCTAGTCTAGGTCAAGAATGAGTGACAGCAACAACTTTAGCACCCCTTGGGAGAGGGACTAATTCCATTTCTGGACCTAGTCAATTTGAACTTGTCTTCTGAGACTTTTGGGAAGAAATCTCAGAGAGACACAAAACTTTTGCTTGGGAGGCTCAACGGCCTAGTGGAGTAAGACAAGGCATTAAAGTCAGAGCATTTATGGTGTGTCCAGGTTCTGCCGTGTTGTGTGCGACCTGAGAAAAAAGACTTTATCTCTGTTTGACTTAATTTCCTCATCTATGAAACTGAGATGACAGTGTAGACCCTGCAGGTATTGCTGTGGAGAGCTGGACACATACACCACCCCCCACACACACCATTCACAGTGTGCTAAACCTTGTTTAAAATGCTTCATAAATAGGAAATTCTGTAATATTAATTATAACTTATGAAGGAGGAAATATTACGATTATCTTCATTTTTACACTAGGAAACTGAGTTTCAGAACTAAGTGTCACACAGTGTCACACAGCTAATAAGTGGTACAACTGAGTTTTTCAAGTTTAAGAAGTCTGACTGCAGAGTCTACACTTGCTATAGACTTTTCGTGTCCCGCCCAGAATTCATATGTTGAAGCCTGTGATATTTGGAGGATGTGGGTTGGGTGGTGATTGGTCATGAGGCTGAATCCCTCATAAATGAGATTAGTGCCTTATAAAAGGGACCCCAGAAAGCTTCCTTGCCCCTTCCACCATGTGAGCACACAGTTGGAAGATGGTCATTTATGACCCAGGAAGTCCAGACATCATACCTGCTGGTGCCTTGATCTTGGACTTCTCATTCTTCAGAACTGAGAGAAATTGATGTTTGTTGTTTATAGCCCATCTAGTCTCTGGTATTCCACTGTAGTGATACAAATGGCCTCAGGCAGATTTAAGCTCAATGAGTTTGGTTTCAGAGTACATGCTCTCAACCTTTATTATGCTGACTAAAATAGTAGCTACTTGCAGAATCTAGTTTTATAATATTTCATAAATGACTATGTCACATTGTGTCTGTGTGTGTGTGTGAGAGAAAGTGTGTTGCTTCTATAGGAGGTCTCACTATAGTCACTTTCAAATAGAAATTCGAATGAGTTTCATATATTATTAGGTATTTAATAAAAATAAAATAGAGCCACAACATTTAAATTATGCTACTTAGAATCATTTGAGAAGTGATAAATTTCTCCAGAATGTTGCATAAATTCAGTATAGCTCTCCTTGAAATTGAGAATGTTTGGAGATATTGATTAGCACTCTGAAGAACCTCTTCTCTGCTTAGTGCAGAGTGATATCCTAAAGAAAGAGTTTTTCTGGGATTTGTTCATAAAAGTAGGAAAAAACAAAACAAAACCAGAGGTCAAACCAATAAGCAATCATTTAGTTTCCATAATAAGTTGTAACCTCCAATATCAAGTTTAGTGTGTGAAATCCTAGATCAGAATTGAACATTGTTTCTTTACAAACTCAAGGATTTTTATGAGCTTTGACACACTAACATGTTTGTGAGTTTCTCGAGAAGTGGCATGCTATGATTTTTTAACTTGTTGGTTATGGACTGTGTGGTGGCTTCACTAATATGTCAGCTTGGTTAGGCTAAACTACACTCCCCAGAATTCCCTTTACTGTTTTTGGTTAGGGTGGGCCACAAGAGACATTCTTTTTTGTTTTTAAGATTTATTTATTGATGCATACAAGAGCTGGGGTACAGGCCAGCGGTGTGTGTGTGGTAGGGTGAGTGGCTTCACCAGAGACAGAGTGGGGAACAGAACAGGCAGATTGACCGAAGTACACTGTTGAGGGGAGCAGCAGGTGAGGCAGGAGAGGTCTGCTGTGCCTTGTGGGTTGCTCCCTGGCCTGGGATCGATCTCGTGCTGCAGTGGCTGTGGACAGCTTCATAGGTTAGAAGCTTCATGAGTCTTAACCCCTTGTGCCACCAGGGAGGCCCCACAAGAGACATTCTTATGCATGTTTTGAAAGGTGGAAAAGGACCAGCTGCCATTTGTAGCTTTTGTACATTGTAGTTTGTCTGCTGATTCACCTCATTGATGCAGGACAGAAGCTTGTCCTCTACTTTTTCTAATCACTCTCTATTTGGCTTTTCCAACTCAAGGGTGAGGTTTAAATTCAAGAAAAAGGGACCAGCTCCTATAGGACACCCATGCCATTGCGGTCAGAGGCTGTAAAAATTGGCTTGGGGTCTAACTGTGCTCATGGATTTTTACTTATCCTTGTTCTTCACTTTCCATCTATCTTTCCTACTGATTGTCTATTCTTAAAACCTCAACAATGGACAGGAAGACAACAACTTTGCAGAGGTTTCTTAAGCAATTCCCATAATTATATAAGATAAAATTTCATAATTATAAACTATAGGATACATACACATATACATGGTGGATATATATATATATATATATATATATATATATATATATATATATATATTTCCTGCTTTCTCATGGCGTAAATGTTCACATCTCTTGTACCTGATCTCTGAATTGCAAAAAATTCAAGATGTTCAAGATGGGCAGAAGCCAGAGCAGCGTCTCCAGAGTCCTGGCCAATTAGCTCCAAACTGATGTTCTCGGGCAGGATGTCACTCCAGGTCGTTGATCCTTCTTGGCTGTGAGGAAGCATGATGACTTAAAGTCAGTCTTGCTGTAGCTCTCAGTTACCCCCAAAGGAGGGTCTTTCATCACCCTCTCATCCTAAACCTTAGTCCGACTAATCTTGAGATTTTTTTTTTTTGCCTTCCTCTCTCTCCTGAGAGATGCCCCTTCTTTCATGGTCAGAATCATTCATCTAAATCTCTTGATATAAAAACTTACTCTGTAGGTCTGTGTCTCAGTCTTCCTGCGTCAAGAAAACTTTACTTTTGTTCCAATTTCTATAAT